AAATCATACTCATTTTTTCACATCAATAAAGTTCCCATATAGCCCCTTTCTATTACAAAAAAGACTTTATTAAAATCCCCTCAAAATAGTCCTGGAAACTAAGGCTTATCTTATGATTGCTATAACCTGTAGCTAAATACTTTGCCATGCTCTTGGTTTGCTGTGGACCCTCTTAATCCACATCCAAACAGTTATTTCACTTATATTTTTTATTTTGTCTTTCATTCACCTTCAAAGACAAAAGATCTTCTTGTCCAGGTACCATCAACCATATTCACAATATGAAGTAAGGACCACATAACACAATGGAGAGGAAATGCTTTTTTGTTATTAGATTAACTTAAAAGATGGCAAATATATAGCTGATGATGAAACCCTCAACAAGGTTTCATCATCAAGCATTCATGCCTTGCAGCAATCAGAAGCCACAGCAATTTTTTTTTATAAAATGGCAACAAATAACATACTTTCAGTGCTCTTTGTGTTCTCATGGCACCCTCTGCAGAAACTTCAACTTTCTCCAAAAAGTATGACAAAAGGTCACCAATTCAGTGCTAGCTGAGAATGTGGGACAAATATCTCGCTTCCTTGCCGTGTTCTTAAGATTGTTTCTTGATAAGAGAGACATTTCCAGATGGTGCTGATAACAGAACGCTGGCATTCATTTTTATTCTTTCGGGACTCCCGTAAAACTTTTTTCATGACAATTACATAACTTCTTTACTATACGAAGCTTGAAATATGAATTTTAAAACAAATCTAAATAAGACTTAGACTCAGAAAAAGAAAGAGGGAAAGGAAGATTAAAAATTACTTTAAGAATAATAAAAAATGTACGATAAAAAGTAATCCTTTCAACCAAATACCCTGCATGTGATAATATCTAAACTACATAATATATGTTATCAGAGCACAAATTCTAAATGTAAATTCATTAAAAGTTATAAAACCAATAACCCATGCATATACCATGCCTAACACCAACCAATTACCAAAGCAACATTCCAGTTCTAACTAAATAATCAATATATGACAGTCAAGGTGACATAGGTAAATACCATCAAGTTGAAGAAAAGCAAGTTATGTTCATTGTGCTTTGGGTTAAAAAGTTGGCATAAAGGTGAGTCTACAGATATTTCAATAAGGAACAATACTAAGGGTGTATAATATACTGTATAAGGTAGAGAAAAGATATATCTGTGCTTGGCTTCAAATCCAGTTGATAGACCCTTGGGATTAAAAGCTACTTAAAGCTATAATCATATCACACAGGTATCTTTTACCTTACTACTCCTACTATATAATATGTACACACAACTTTCATTCAGTTTTTCTGATTACACGCTCTATCCACTGCATCTTTGCCTCACTAATTCTATTCACATAAATAGCTCTGTAAGTACCTGTTTACCTTTTCCTGGAATTTCTAGGAAAGACTTATCATACCTTTTGATTTTATTATCATAATCATCATATTTTCATGAACAATACTAATAGCAATAACAATAAAACTTTTTTTCTTAAATATTCAAGGAATGGGGTAAACAGAAAAAATTCAGCATAGCAACTGCTTCTTTAGTAACCAAGTACTTCTGGAGCAATTTATGTTCAAACAGTTAATAAAACAAAATGAACAGCAGACAGTGCATGTATATATGCACTCTAGGCATCAACAAATTAATTACAATAAGCAAGAGGACTCAGAAAACACATTATTCAACCATCCCACTTGACAAGAGAAACCAAATAACATAGATACTAAGTCGCCTTTGCCTTAAGGACAAAAACTCAGCATTAATCCTACAAATAGAGCATAGTGAAATTCTCTGCTAAAAAGCTGCCACCAGAGATCTGTTCCCTGCATCTTAATACTTAAGATGCTAAAACCTACATATAAACCTCGTAAGGGATTTATTACCAAAATGAATATTTCATTCCCATTGTACACGAACACCAATATGAGTTTTTGGTCAATGTTAGTCTTCTATGTCTAAAAAAATCCTGATGACATATCATATTGTAGAAGGAATGCATAACAACCTAAACTAAATACCACTTAAAACAACACAAAACCCCACAAATGCCTTGAAATCCCCATTTGAAAATAAATCTCCGTCATTGACCAAAAATTTCTATTTTACAATAAGTCTATACCAAACTGTTGAAAAATACATCTTCTATGAGGGTTTATCATATTATTATAAATTTCATCCTGATCATCACCATATTCTGATCAACTGGTTCTTGGCCCATAACCAACCAACCTATATTGTTTTATCAAAAACTATCAGTAACTTTTCCAAAATACCACTGACAAACCATCCAAGAAATGCTAACCAAAAAAATGCATCCGTAGCAGAGACAAAACACTAGTGACAATATAAAAACTGCAACTTTGATTAACTAAGTACAGAACAAGCTAACAGATGACAGTAAAACAGATACATGCATCACTTTCAAACCTGATGACTTCACAAGATAGCTAATTCAGTCAAAGCCT